TAATCCGCAACCAAGCGTCCCCAAATAGATGCCATGAGGCACGCTGGCTAATACGTTACAATACACTCTCTTAGCGCCAAAGCAGAAACCTTAGTAAAACATTTCCAAAATACTTTTACATCAAATAATTCTCCTTTACACACAAAGCACCTTGAAAATCTTCAAATAGCCTCTTCCCCCATCTTTAACATACCTCACAAAATAAAATACATCTCTCCTCGCGAAACGAAAGCACTAATTTAGAAATTCCCAAATAAAAAATCCCCGACACGATAAAATCAGTTCAATAATCTTAAAAAATCTCGCACCATCAGCCATAGCCTTCCTGAACAATGTTTATGTTTCGGTTTTAAGCACTGGATAGTTCCCCCAAACTTGGAAACATTCAATCATTCACCCCATTCTGAAACCACATAAAATCACTCCAAAGTAGGCAGTTAACGGCCCATCAGTTTATTACCCGATATTGCCAAATATATTCGATAAACTAATACTTGTTTGATTAAACCAACATCTCAAACACATTAATATAATTCACAAAACTCAATTAGAATTTATTGCTCACCACTCAACTGCCCACCAACTACTTATTATAGCATAACACATCCACTCTGCTTTTCATAAAAAGCAACACAAAATATCTACATTCCTGTACATCACGCAATCATTTGACAGAATATGGCACTCAGGTCTAATTTATAATCTAATACAAGCTGGAACCCCTACTTATATTATTCACGTCATCAAAAGTTTCCTAACAGACCGTATATTCTCTGTAATAGTCAACAATCACCACTCCACTCCACACACTATCAAAGCAGGCGTCCTGCAAGGCTCCCCTTATCTCCAATATTATTCAACATACACATCTCTGAATTTTCCATCGTCAACAACTTCTAACATAGCTCCATTAGCTGATGATACAGCACTATTTGCCTCTCGGTTCTCCTTAAAAAACCACCGATCAAAAATTCAAAGCCACTTAAATGAAATTGAATCCTGGGCAATCATCAGGAAAATTCAACTTAATCCTGACAAAACAACAGCAAAAATCTTCCCACTCAGAAAGTTTACCTCCCCATTCGTATGTAATAAACAGCTCCCCATCACAACCCATAAAATACTTAGGACTTCACCTGGACAGAAAACGAATCTGGAAAACCCAAAATTAAACAACCAAGAAATAAATTATTCCAGCTCCGGCCAGTAATCGACACACACAAATACCTGTCATACACAAACTCTTCAACAATTTATAAAGCTATAATAAGGCTACTAATGCACTACGCATGTCCAATATGGACAAATGCAGCCCCCACAAATGTCAATAAAATCCAAGAAATTCAAAACACATTTATCAGATTAATCACAAATACCCCCTGTTCATAAGTAAAAAACAACTCAATTCCGAATTAAACATCAGACAATAATAAATCAAATAGCTCATATATCACATAATTTCTATCAAAACCTACATCCCAGCAGCATCCCATTTCAAACTACCGAAAAATTTAACCCGCACCTGAATAAAAAATAGATTCCTTTTGAAGCCCTTCTCAAAATCTTAGCCAACCATGATACATAACCGCCAGTTTCTCCCCTAGAACATCTCCTCCAATGCATATATTAAGTTAGCTTAGATATTTTAAGTAGCGTAAGTCTAAAAACACACCTGTAAAGTAATTATATTCATAATATATTCCATCTAGAACAAATAAATATGTTTTATAAAACGCCGTCTTGGATGATGCAAGAGCGGGAGTCTACAGCACCACTTTAAATGTATTCTAGATTTGAATTCATATCAGTTTTGAATATTTTCTTATAATACTACGGGACTCAAAAAAGGAATTAAATGTGAGCAAATATAAGCAAATGTAACAAAATAAATATCAATGTTACGTAACACTTAAATACTAATACCCCCTTCCCCTATGTCAAGCAACCTCAGACTCCCTCCCTTTTTAGTATTACGTAATTTATGGTCGTCCCCTAATTACTCGAACGTTTCCGAAGCAATGAAGTAATTTTTGCGTAATTAATTAACAATTAAATAGTTCTACAAGATGGCATATATTTTTGTAGTAATCGATTGTAGTGGTGCAAGGATAATCTTCAACCAGTTCACCAAAATGTGAATAGAAAATATATTTTGCATGTAACTAATTAGCAATTAAATAGTTCTAAATTGTTGCATGTCTGTTTTTGTGGCAAAAAATTATGTCCTTGCTAGTTTAAATAGGTGGGCCTCCCCAATGCGCCGCCGACAGGCAAAGAATCAAGGCACGCCAAGTGGACCGCAAGTGACCAAGTTGATGAGATTTCGAGCTTCGGCATCCGAGATGAATATGAAACAACAATATGTCTGCGAAATATATAATCTCCACAGATTTGTACACTAAAATTGTTGTTAAATTAAATCTCGGTACATAAATAAAATAATTTGTGTGGCGTTTCTACACCACACGGGAAAGAACCCTCACATTCAATCAGCAGGTAATGCTCAGATACGCTGGAACACCCCCTAAAGCAATCCTCAGATAGCTGTATGCTAAAAGTATCGAAATTCGCAGTTTTGCTAGGCGCACGTCCTTACGGCCAAGTAAAAAGGTCATCACTCACCACGGTAACCCATTTGCTTTCTAGAAAGAACATCTCGCGTTTCTTATTCATTATACTACGACTTTGTATTGGAGTGTCCTCGACAGCTGCAGTGCTCGTCATAGGCAATCTTCTCCCGACCTGGATCGCCTCGGTAAGTTGGAGATTCGATATCACAATGAAGATCATGGTAGAATGTCATGTAATAAGGTGAATAATCAATACGAATATGATGTAGGCGTTCGATTCTTGCCGACAATGATAAGAGCACAAAATCCTTTCACGGTTCCTTGCTATTACATCCTCACGTCAAGTCTGTCAACGGCAGAATAGGAAAGATGAGGTCTACACAACCTTGTATATCATCGCATTCCATGCATGCCTGAATTCAAGAGAATGAAGCAAGAAATACCGTTTCTTTTATTGAAATCTCATGTCCGAACTCCTAGTCCATAACTCACCGACTTTGGTATTATTATTAATCGATTTTTCCCTCTCCACACACTGAAAATTATCTATGAACCAATGGGGACAAAGCCTCTACATGCATTTGCAGTTATGTTGTCAGTCGGTAAGTTAATTAGCTTAGTTTATATATTACTTTCAAAATGTCAATTAACTTACAGTTTACAAAATACTTATTTATGCACTAAGGGCGTTATAAGGATTCTAATGACCGAGTGGCGACAACATCCAGGGCTTGTTCACCCGAGATCGTTATAACTAGTTAACACCCGTGGTACATACATTATGTTATTGAGTCAGATTTAATTATTTACTAATTAACCAGATGTTAACTTGAATCGGTTTGTTTTTTTCATATTTCTCTCCCACAATTCCCTTTCATAAGCTCCTCCGTAAGAGAACATGTAGAATCATTCAACTGTTTTCATATTTCCCTCGTAACCAGGATCCTCTTGGTCCAGGTAAGTTATGCAGTGTATATCTAGCTCCAAATCGACGACAGTAACAAGTTATAATGTATGAGTGAAAATTAAATATATTATTTGTTCGTGTCTAGTTTTATTACGGCCTACTGCTTTCTGTTCGACATAGAGGACCGCTATGGATGCGAGGCTGTTCCTGAAAACGGCGCCCTGACGTAGCCACTCAGCGGCGCTTCCACTGGCGTCGGCAAAACCAAAGCGAGCGAGCAAGCACGCGCATGCACAGCCGCGCGCGTGCCTCGCCTCGCCCCGTCTCGCCGCATCGCGCCGGCGCGGGGCAGGGGCTGCGTGCCGCCACGTACCTTGCACTTGCGCTGGCGGAACACCACGCCCGCCAGCAGCACGGTGATGCTCATGCACAGCAGCTGCACGCCCAACACCACGGCGCGCAGCAGCGGGTCGCCCTTGGCCGCGCAGACGCCCACGCCGCCGCCCACGCCGCCGCCGCCCTCCTCCGCGCACGCCACGCACCTGCGGGCACGCAAACAACGCTCTACTGCTACACCCGCAAGGCCAAACCCTACAGCCCAAACCTCTATAACTCAAATGTCTGTTGATAACTCGCATATCAGAGAAACCGATCCCGATCATTCACACCTTGATAAGTCAAATCTCAATCATGCAAGCCTCGATTGTTCAAAACTTGATCGCTCATATCTCGATCGCCTAAACATCGATTGCTCAAACCTCGATTACTCAAATCTCGATAACTCAATCCCCAATAACTCAATCTCGATCATTCAAACCCGATAATTCAAACCTGATAACTCAAACCTCAAACGCTTAAACCTAGATCGCTAAAATCTCGATCGCTCAAACTTTCGTAACTCGAATATTGATTACCAAAACGTTCGTAAATCGAACCAAGAAAACTCGTCCCTTGGTATTTCTAACGACCATTCAAAATCGTAAGTATCAATGATTCTTTCAACTTACACATTATTCGATGACCAGAACCTTCATAATACGAACTATTGCACTTGAACGTTTCCTTTCCGCTTCTGATTTAAAATATTGTGTTTCATAGTATGAGTATTTTCGAAATTGCTGATAAACCCTGGATATAGCCAGATATTTCCAAAGAACAAGTGATGTTTTTTAACTAATATATAGGAAATATAATTGAACATACTACGTGGTGTCAATAACGTCCACTTATTTTAGAGTCAGTTTTATACAATATAGAGTATGTAATGGAAAGAACATGTTCGTGCGCGTGCCGGTGTTTCTAGTGAATCTGAGAAAATCCTAGCTCTACGGACAATGTAGATAATTCCCTCTAATTCGAAGGAATTCGGGAAATTCTTAACTATTTTATAATTACGAATATTTCACCAGCAGAGAAATTTCTTATATATTTGTACCGAATTATAACTACTAATTTGAAATCTGAGGAATCCAAGAATTCAAAGTTCACTTTCAAAATTATGATGCTCATTGCTTTACACAATCCCACAAGTGATAAATTTGGTAAATTCATTTGTTCTTTGAATTTTTAACAAGTTACGAAGGTATTCGAAGAACGTGCAGAACTCGTCATGACGTAGGTTCGACCCTTTACCGCAAAAAAACGTATCCAAAACAGATATGCTCTACCCACATTAAATGTGCCACATGCATGCATACATTTTTGCTGGATTTGTAGGAATATATATATATATATATATATATATATATATATATATATATATATATATATACAATTATAATTTAAAAAATTCAATGTATAAAGGGAGGTAAATGTCAAGAATGTTGAAGTTCTAATTAAGGATAGAAAATGGATAGTATCTGCGATCGCAAAAAGAGCAAGCCGTTCAGAAAATGTATAAAAAAAGAAAATGGCCAAAAAATATACAAAACAAGTTCAAACCGTCATGACTACTATACGTTTCTGTAGGGAACAATCATTATAGTTTTGGTTAAATCAATATTAAATGAAGCATTGTACGTACTACATAATGAACATGAAATCGTCAACAGTACCCTCTTAGCATTCAACTTATTTGTCAAATCTTAATAAGTGGAGACTCTCAAGACTCACACTATCTGAACTAACTCGTCGTTGTGTTGTTTTTTACGACAATTGACTATTAGACACAATAGGAGTGAAATCTATCTGTAATGTAAAAAAGAAGTCATTTTATTTGCATCTTCCCCGCCATGCCCCACTGCAACCCACTTCGCCTCGACCGCTCTACTCGTTCCGTCCCTTGTAGCCCCGTCCCTTCTGCCGCACCCGTCCCGTTGCATCTACACCAGGCCGCTCCCAGTGGCGTCCAGACCACTCCCTGCTCTCCGTAACGCCAAGATGTATTGCGGATTGCATTACACCAACAAGTCTGATTTTGGTTCACTCACAAGATGAATTAAAAATAAACGTAGCTCCTAGTTATTACAAATATTGTAGTAGAAAACACTTTCCATATTTCACGTTCCTAGCTTCAGTAGCTAGAAGCGAGAAGATCTGAGTTGATAAGTATGTCAGTTTCGTCTTCACTATCGGCAAATAAGACAGTATCGTGAAGGTTATTACAGTTTGTGCAAGTTGGACTTGCATTTACAGATTTATCATGCCGGTATCCCCCTCGGCATTCATGTGGCCTGCAATATTGAAATAAAAAGACAGCAACCCGAACTGCAGTTTTAATACGGCACCGCGTATTCTGTTGGTCTGCAAATCTGCTGCTTTCGTGCTACAGCTCGTCGCCTATCCCGTGGGTTGGTTAACAAGCGCTAATGATCTCTCCAGCTATTGTTGCTCGTCGACGGCCTTAACCTGCTCTTCCTCCAACTTCGCGTTGTTTGGAAACAAGTCCACAAACGCGAAATTACTCTTCAGGCTCTCCAATTACGCCAGCTGTCTCCCGCTGCGTCGGTCCAACTTCTCGCCTGTCAATGGCAAAGCAATCGATTGCTGTGAGCTAATGCAGTCGACCCGAAATGAGCCTTGCTCTGAACCGGTGCCACCTGGAGTTCCAGTACCTGCGTACGTCACCGTCCCAATTACATTATTTCCTCTGTGAAGCAGTAGAGTGTTTCTCGTCGTAGAGTTGAGAATGAGGCACATTCCCAGCACAGCCTCAGTATCAAAAGGACGTGGGGGTAAGTCGAAGTACGCAGACCTTAAAGTCTGTTGGTTGGAGTCTCACCGAAGTAAAATATCATGACGTTGGGGCGTGCATACCTTCTCACTCCATCACGTGTTTTATTTGAATCATAATCCCTACCGTAATCATATATATATTTCATTAACATCACACCTTTCTGCCATCCTTTAAGCTCTGGAAGATAATAGCAAACCCCCAGTACGACGATCAACTGTCCAGGAAAATAGAGGGAATAAAATTGGCGGCGTTTACCTTCGCTCCAGAATCGAAAAAAGCACCCATCATCATCGACATCAACATCATCATCAGACCGGGAGAGATGGCTCAGAGATTCAACTGCAGTGCCTCTGACCTGCACTGCCTCTGACTGTCTTAAGGTCCCACTTTAGACGGTGGAAAGATTTTTGGCATTAGCTAGATAGCTAGTCTGAATTTAGAAACTGGAGGAGAATTCTAGCAGCCGATTGGTTGTTTCCCGTGGTTTCTCCGATCAACATCACGCGAATAGCAGAGCAGTATTCTCACAAACGAGCTGCGGACCACGCGCGATCTTTCCTTCCTCTTCCTTGTCTTATCCTCACTCCTTCCTTACATACACTTACTCTTTCACGCACTACTCTACCATACATGTCGGGCGACCGGCCGGGAGCTTGTCTCAGCTTGGACTGGAGCTGTCATAACACACTTAAGTAAACACTATTATAAAATGAAGATACTTTCGATTCAAAATGTATACACAGTGTAAACACAATGTTTACTCATATACACCGTTTTCTACTCGTGCACATGTTGCCGGAGGATGATCAGTTCAGTGCACATGGATACGTATAGAATAATATCGTTTTAAGATGATTAGGCTGCAAAACACGCGACGAAGTTCATGACAAAGTACCGTGTTAACACAATGCCTGTGTCGTAGACGCATTTATTATAAAATAATCAGTGAACAAGAGAAAGGCACAGACACGTCCTTCTCTCACGGAAATTATAGTTCAACTGAAAACTTTTTTAAGAGTGTTACGCTTTTAACACACGAACCAGTTCATTGCAAAGCATATTAACACGATGCCAGTGTAGTAGACACATACTAGTCACACATAGTTGTATGCACAAAATAAAAAAAATTACATATAAATAACACATAATAAAAACAATACAAAAAAGGAACAGACACGTCCTCTCACGAAAAGTATAGCTCAACTGAGGTAGGCCGTAAGCGGCGTGGAAGAGCGGACATTGTTCGCGCGGCTTTCACGTCTAGGCCAATGAGAGTGAAGTTAACCGGTTTTTAATTTGGAATTATTATAAACTGCATTGTTTTAGAGCTACAGAAAATATGTGAGATGCTGTTTCAGTTCATAATCACTGAGAGAGTATTTAATACTTATTAAATTGAGCAAATTGATCGCGTCATAATTTCTTTGAAAAGTGGTGTGATTGTTGCGACATCGCAAGAAGCGATGTGAACAAGTTGACGCTAGAATAAATAATTACAATACAAGAAACAAATGAAATAATTTGTACACGCCTGGCTGAAGCACGTGAGACGACCGCGTATTACAGATAAAATAGGTTTAAACGAATAAAACATTGCTTGTTAATTGAATAACATAATGTCCAAGATGCGCGAGTACATGGCTAAGACTACACGCATGCATGAAATAAATGTGTGCACGAGACATTCTAAATTTTTCCCCCAACAATTGTCATGAACCAGTTATCTAGTTACGTACCTCACCTCTGAGACCATTTGCACAACCCTCACTTTTAAATCTCACCCCAATTTCTCTAGACGCAGTGCCCGCAAGATCTTTTTAGTAAGTTACCTTGTCTGCGACTTTGACATGCCTCTTCTAGGGCACATGGGTTCAAGGACGATTGTGTTTTGCTAGTGATGCAGGAGTAATGCCAAAGCCTCAATGCCGAGCTCCAGTGCATGATAAATTGCCTCTTTATCAAGGGCAAATGTCACATGCATAACTTCATTATATTAGATTTTCCACCAGATTTTCATTGGCAAAACTTATCAAGTTTGACGTTTATAGACTCTCGAAGTTTATAAAACTTATTCTGAGACACTTGCACATGGACATTCGCTTCTCTCGCACAAACTCTTCATAAAAGTCTTCTGAATATTGCGTTGATAATTAAATGTCTTATTCATTTTGCTGAAGATAGTTGAAGTAATAAGCTGCTTAAATTTTCATAGATAGCTGGCGAAATTGGTATAACCTAGTATTATGCGTTACATTGTTTTTTGCTTGTTATAACTCAATAAACGTCTTAAAAAACTTAGAAATACAGCTAGACAGTTAATTGAGCTCGAAAAATGAAATAAATTTCGTTGTGAGGAAAATTTGGAGACCTATACATTTTGTTATGTGGATTCTAAAGAAGTGAGAGCTATACGAATTAGCATTCATGTCAGTAGTGGGATACATGTGTCACCAGTGCGACATGGTGCGACATGTTGCTATGCATACAGAATTTAATTAAGCTAACCAGCTTGGAAACTACCTGCGTTATCCACTTTGAAAACTGCGTACTTCAGCAGAACGGATCACAAGCACAAAATTCAGGCAAGAAAATAGAAAACGAACGTTTGGAAATTTTTACTCGCAAACAGAACTAATATTAGAGGCTGGAGCAGTTTGCCTGCAGCAAGCAGGGCCTGGTTTCTAAGCAGGATGTACAGAACGTTTACGACTGAAGCCGCCAAGGAGTCGTCTTTCTTAAGGCGAAAGCACAACACAAGGCGCAGGCGAGGCCCTCGGCGGCGAAGACGGAAGGGGACAGGTGGAGAGTTCCTATTGTCAGTTTTAACACAATTTTA